GACGAATCCCCCCCCCCATCTTTGTGTGTCCAGGACCACGTCGCTGCCCCCGTTGTGTCTGTGTCTGCTGCCCTTCCCTGCCTTATCATGTTTTTGTACAGAGCCCAGGTACGATAAACTGCTCAAATATTTGCAGAGATGTCCGTGTGCAGCCGGAGCGGTGAGCTCCTCTTGTTTGGTTGGGGGGTGGAATCCACCAGCACTCTGATTTCCCAAGGGAGCACCGGCTCCTCACGCCACTGCAGCCCCCCCGGTGTGGGGCTGGGCAGGAGGCATGGGACTGGACACCCGGGGGCTTGCTGTGGGGCCAAGCATGGCCTGGGAGCAGCCATGGCACCGTGCGCCAGGCCAGCACGGCCTCTGGGGTGGCAGGGAGTTCTGGCAGCCCAGGGGTGCAGGGCAGGCACCTGTCTTTTTGGCTGCAGATCGACAGAGGCTGTGTGGAGGCTCCCTGGGGACCCTGTGCATGGGTGGCACCATTCAATGTCATCCCATGGTCCTGCAACCCTTTGGTGCAAGCGGTGCCCTTGGCAATGCTGCCGGCCCTCCTGCGCCTGTGAGGGGGTTTCGAGTGGCCGTGCCTGGCACCCTCTGCGCCAGCCCAGCACCAGGCACTGCTTTGCCCCAACACAGCTCAGGCTGGGCTGCTGTGGCAGGACCCCGAAGCTGCGTGGCACCGAGGGGACAGTGCCTGCCTTGTTGTGTCCCCTGAGCCAGGCGGCGGTGGCCGGGGCGCAGTCCCTGCTCCAGCCGGGCTCTTCTCCTCCCTCCTGGGCGGGGAAAGTGGACAGGAGATAAAAGGGAGATGAGGGCGAGCTGGACATTGCCAAGAGCAGCTGGGGCTGGGAGCGAGGTCTGCCTGGAGGACAGCAGTGAGGAGAAGTGCGGTATTGAGGGCTTGTTCTCGCGGGGGAGAGGGCTGGGGCTTGGGGGTTCATCCATCCTGAGCAGACCCCACAGTCCCCTGTTCCCACCTCCCCAGAGCGTCCCCCCCAGCCCCATGTCCTCTCCCTACCCATTAAATGTGCTGGATCTTGGATGGACAGGGCATATCGTGGGGTGGGCAGGCTTGGGGGGCTGTGGGAGGAAGGGGCTCCAGGCAGCTATTGGGGGCGGGGGGGTTAAAGGCTCTGTGCACCCCTCAAGTGCTTTGTGGGGCACCAAGGACTCTCAAGGTGACTTGAAGGTGAAACCATCCCTGTCCCACTGACTCTCTGCTGGTGGCCAGGACAATGGGGGCTGCATCCCCGCCCGCCCCTGGGGCAAAGACAGCCCCCTGGCCATGGCTGCGCCTGGCTTTCGGGGGTGGGGAGGTGGAGAAGGCCCCTGGGGG